TCATTATTCTCTGACGATCTTTTTGCGAATTTCACTGACTTATTTGGAGGAAAGTTGTTTAAGCGGTCAACATTAATATTACTTAACATATTAGTTATAAAAAACAAACAAACGTGAAAAAGCGGCCATTTTGCTTAACAGTAGTACTAGTAGTTGACAGTAGTAATAGTATAGTATTGCTAGCAGTATCTTTTTTTTTTTTACTAAGAAAGAGTTTAGAAAAGTTTTTTATTTATTTAGATTCTAGTTAGGCGAAGCTAAATAAATAAAAAACGTTTTTCTAAACTCTTTCTTAGTAAAATAAAAAAGATACTGCTAGCAATACTATACTATTACTACTGTCAACTACTAGTACTACTGTTAACCAAAATGGCCGCTTTTTCACGTGGATGCAAATCAAGAATAACCCTAATCACTGAGTAGTTTAATAAACAAAACCTTAAGGGCAAGTTTTTCACCTTACTAAAGTGCTGGAGGAAGAGGATTCGTTCAATCTCCACTAAATAAAATCAGTACGATTCAGTCATGGTGACTGAATAAAAAGGCCAAAAAAAATTAATTATGGCCACACAAACTATGATGAAAATCTTGTTCAACTACCCACCCTCGCTTCCATGCATTTTATTCAACTGGCTTTATCAAAAGTTTTTCCTCCCGAGTCAAGCCCCTATTGAGTCACTGTTGCCATTGATTACAGTGGTGTTTCGAAAGCACTTAAATCAGTTTTCTTAGCCATTATCAAGAATGCCATGGAAGTACTATGGCGAAGTAATAGGTGCACTTTCACAAAAGAATAGTGAATAGTTAATAGGAAATTATTATTAACAAGACATCAGTTTTCGAAGAGCCCTATACTGTGAGCCAGTCTCATGTTGCTCGGAATTCTTAGAACGGGAATGATATGCAAGTGCGCGGGCGAACAGAGAGAATTTCGACCAGAAGAAAGATTGCTTTCGCCGACCAGCGGTCTTAAGGGGATGTTAATAGGATACCGAAATTACTTTCATTCCGGCATGAGTTTCGTTCCGGAATGAAGTACGAATTATATTCACGGCTTAGCTTAAGGCGTTATCCCTCACTTGGTTTTCTCGCCAGATCAGGGACTCATGCGCTATTCACCCCAGAATACACGATGTTCGATTTTCAATCCAGAACAAAGTTCGTTTTCAGTTTACATAACACTGAAATGAAATTGGCATTAGAACGAGCATTTCATTCCGATTGAAAACCTGAATGAACTCATTCCGGAGGAAATGAACGGAAATGAAATGTCGTTTTGGTATCATGTAAAAAAATATATAGAGAAATATATAAAGAATGAAGTAAACTCAAAATTGAAAGTCATCCCGGTGTTGTATTAATAGCCCCTAAACGTACCTTTGTCTAATTCCACCAAAGACCATCTTCCAGCCAGCTGTGTTTAGAAAACTTGTTCTTGTAACTCCACCTCTCGCACCAACTTTATTAGCTGCACTACTGCGCGCCATTACCGGCAATGGAGCCTGAGGATTAGAAGGTGGTTTTTCTCCGGCTTCCAGTAGGTCGTCCCAAGTTTCTATTTTGTCAAAAGTGTCCAGCACCCTGCAATAAAAACATTACAGCTGAATTATATTACCCGGTCAATCAGTCACGTTATATATCAGTCGATTTTATCAGCGCTATTAAACTGAAAAACCTTTTCAAAACCTTTTATAATCTTCGAAAATTTAAGGTGGCTCTGTGAGCCTGAGACATAATTGTTTTATTAATGTTTGCTTAAAAAGGTACATTTGACTCTCTCTAAGAAGAACACCTTCGGGCCCCGGCACTAACTGTCCATCTTAGAGAGGTGTCCGGAGATTCGAGGTAACGTGGCTTTACCAGGAAAGCTGTACCTATTAGCAATGAACACACGACCTCGTCTGTTTAACTTGTTCCAAACAGATTATGACTGGAACATTGTAACAGGAAAGTGGAACTATTTTCTTATTGTCGATCATGATCAAACGTTCATGACAAGTATACGTTCACGGCTTCTTGGTCTAAACGCGTAACAGTATACCTTCAAATATTTTGCAATTTAGTGTCATGTAGAGCACCTACTTTTCCGGTCTGAGGTGGTTTCCCACTACATAAAGCACTTCTCAATTGTCCGTTGATGGTTTGAAAAGTGTCCGTTGTCCGTCTTAGAGAGGTGTCCGTCTTACAGAGAGTATAGTTACAGTCAAATAACTGAAAAACGGCAGGGACTAACAATAGGTGTCCGTCTTACAGAGGTGTCCGTTTAAAGAGATCTTTGTATATCAGTTGCAATTTCAATGGGGTTCGCTGAATCGTGTTTGAGTTATAAGCCATGAAAGATGACATTAACGATATTTTGATGAGTTATAACAAGGCTATGGTAGCTGTTTATTTTATTTACATAACATAATTGTCTATTACAGTGGAAACTTGATTTAACGAAGTGCCAAGGGACAGGGGAGATTTTTTTTTTGGTATATCGAGGGTTCGTTATATCGAA